AGGCTCTTTGCACCTTACACTATCCGAACTCGCACGGAACACTCGACAGGTTTCGCTTCTAACTAACCAGGGAAGGATCCCAAGTCGAAGTGGCCATTTAAAATGAGACCTACACTGCTGGACGTGTTTTTGGATGCTGAGTTCAAATCTGATTTCCAAACTTGCCGAGTGTTTTCTGAACGGAATTACAAGGGTGGTTTCAGGGAGCTTAACACAAAAAAACTTAAATTAATGGATGCGGCTTCCAACAACGGCGGCTTGGTGTGGTGATAAGTGACGCTTCATGTACGGGAGACTAGGGTTCGTGTTATATGGAGGGCGGAATTTTTGCATTACATAGAATTTTCCCCTTAAGGACTAGAAAATACTGTCATGGTGACTTTATCACGTTTTAAGAAGTTTTGATGCCTTGCTGATGCCTTCTCCTACTTACCTACCTGTTACCGAGTAGGAGATTCTTCCGTGCGCAAAATTTGGAGCTCCGGGCGAGAAAAAGGCATATGAAGAGCAATGACGATGCTAGAGTGGGTGCTGATGCTAGAATGGGTGCGATGGTGCAAAGCATCTCCGGACCCACCAACACCGGCACTGTTGACAGTTGACTCGTGGATATCATTCACAGACCAAAAAGCTATTCAGTGCGTCTTACCTCCAAAAAAGCAGTTGAAGGGGCACTCTTCTGGAGCTGTATTAGCCTCGAAGCTTCCACGAGGCTAATACAGCCCATAAAAGCTTTAGACCATCCTTCTGGAAACATGGTTAAACGCATCACCCCATATGCAGTAGCTCGTGATCTCAACTTTTGCGTTTACGCACGAAACCCCATTTCGCTTACTATCGCTTGTCTACTTTTAGTTCTGTGCTGTTTGATTTAGGAAATTCCTCTTTTATTCATGGTATGGCGCCGGCTACTTCAGTACTCATCTGGGTGATTTTGGGACGCCTACACAATTCTGTTTCCCTTCTAATTTGGGGTCAGTAACTGTAAAGCAATGGGCTGTGACGAGTTCTTTTTCATTCCCTGCTCCCATTGTGAGAAGTTCTTTGTTTCAAGCATTTCGTGCGGGAGTATCACATTTGGTCTTAAAGTGGCTAAAGTTATCCTACTGTGAATATACATAGAGTGAATGGGCATGCGAGTAAAACTGAAGTGTTTCTTTATGTGAATAAATATCAGCAAAAACATTAAAAGGACATAAAACGTAATAAAATCACCATGAGAGCATTTTCTAGTCCTCAAGTAAAAAATTCTATCTAATGCAAAAATCCCGTCCCCCAAACCCGATCCCTAGTCTCCCGTACATGAAGCGTCACGCTTACCACCACACCAAGCCCCCGCTGAGAAGGGAGGCACATCCATGTAATTTAAGTTTTCTTGTGTTAAGCTCCCTGAAACAACCCTTATAACTCCGTTCAGAGAAACGCTCGGCAGATTTGGAAATCAAATTTGAACTCAGAATCCAAAAACACGTCCAGCAGTGTAGGCCCCATTTTAAATGGCCACTTCGGCTTGGGACGCTTCCCTGGTAAGTACTACGGAAGACAGAACAAATGCTTAACTATTTCGACAATGCATGTGGAAATTGAGTTATGATTGATCTTAACGAAGATGATTTTCATGCGAAATGGACTAATGCTCCTTTCACGCTGAACGGAAATTCTCTCTGAATCTTCAGCCACGTGCTTCTAGACTGAGAAGCCAATATGATGAAGGACCTAGCACCGGAGCTCAGCAGAAGAAAACACGCGGTGTAGGTAGCATTCGAGAAGATCGAGGGATAATTGGAGAAGACAAAGAACATCCGGTTCCGCGCTCACTTTTTGGGCACTGCGGTCCTTCCTGCTTTGACATATGCCTCGAGACTTAAACCCTACAAAAGCAGGATGAACATGCGGTCAGTGTCATTCAACGCTTTGTGGGAAAACTTCAATACACGCAAGTGCAAAAGAGAATCCGCTCCGAGCTCTGTCAACGAGCGAAGATCAAGGTATCATTGCTCACGCCAAGAAATCACGAGGCGGACACGTTATGCGATACCGTGATAACGGTTAGAGCAGAGCAGTTACTGACTGGATCCACGTGAAACCAACACCAGAACGGCCGCCGACGCGGCGGTCAGACTTCTTCACGAAAGCACTGGACGGAAGGAATGCTTTGCCCCGTGTCCCTCGAGCGAGGGCGATCCACTGGATGGCCCATGACAGGAACGAATGGAGAAGCCCGACGATAAACTGGTCGACAGGTAATACAGGTAATTTCGCCTTCATAGGTCGAATTTCCGTCCAAATGAAGTTTTGAGACACACTGAATATCTTCCTAATTACCCTAACGGCCCCTTGTGGGCAGATAAGCCAGTAGGTTCCCAGCCTTTGACTTACTCGCGTTTGTCAGCTAGTCGCGTAGTCGCTGTTGTGGGCTCACAACTAGTCCAGCGAGTCCAGTGTTGGCGCGGTGCACCCTTTTATCCCAGTCTTAATCGTACTCATACACAACGATAAGGTATTCGGGCTTCGCCCACATCTATTCTACTTACTATAAAGTGCTTCGTTTGTCGTCTGTCTGTCTGTATGTCTGTCACTAAATTCTTTAGCACCTTTAGATCTGCCTGAGGAGACCGGGTCAAACGGGGGGATGGGTGGGCCGTATCCCGAGAAGTATAAAACACACATCAGCTTGGCGGGGCGCCGCCCACTGTGGGCGTGACGTGCATCGAAATGAGCTGTACTGGGGACCATGAATTCGAATCCAGTCACAAGACGGCCTCAAAATGGAGTGGGAAGGTGGTTAGAGATGTGCACTGGTAAGTTAGATCCAACTGGGAAGACCCATCCCCGATGGGCGGGGCGTTCTTCGAAATTGCAATGCTTTATGAAAACATTTATAACTCGGTTCGGAGAAAGCCAACAGAGCAGAAAAAAGTTGATGTGGGAGAAGCATTGTCGAAGGTGTCTCCAGCATATATGACGTCAGCGGAGGCCCGCCCTCAATGGTCGGAGCATGCCTCGAAGGTCACATCCCTCTTACAACGAAGATTCATAACTCCTGTCCCCATAGACCTAGAAAGTCCAAACATGGTAGGAGTACAGGCGCCATGGTGTGAAAACTTATGGTGGGTGGCAAAACCAGAATCCGCCCACAAGGGGCGGGGTTTGGGCGACAGTTCATAACTCCTGTCCCCATGCACCTAGAAAGTTCAAACTTGGCAGGAGTACAGGCGACAGGATGGGAACACTTATGGTGGGTGGTAGGACCAGACTTCGCCCACAGGAGGCGGAGTTTGAGCAGAAATTCATAATCTCATAAATCATGAGGGTCGATAATGAAAATCAGCTCATGTGGCTCAGTCTTTCATGGCTAGAGCCCCTAGCGCATGTGATAGCATGTATAGCCGTCTGGTGTGTATATGCTAGCAGATTCGTATATTATTATCGGTCCTTTTACACGTCGTTATAAACGATTGCACGTGTAGTGTAATGTCCATTAATCTATCAAAGTCGCACTAGGCGAGCAGTAGGCCTTCGCTAATCGGCCGCCTTGACTGTTGTTCCAATGGTCCCGCCGAGAAGGAGCCATAACGGGCCGAAGAATCGGGCTGGTATTTAAGGATCGGGAAGATCTCACATGGTCGTGCTTAGCCACCGATTCTGGCCTAGTCATTACATCATCAAAAGAGATTATCGTCATCTTCGCAGTCGTACCACCTCCATTTGCAGCTCCAGCGTCTCACCTACACCTCTTCTATTTATCACATGGAATCGATGAGACGCAAAAGCGTCTCGGAGCCGGAATCGACAACTGATGTGAACGTCGTTGGAAGCCGAGGCACCGAAGAAGGCTGGAAAAGTTGGACGACCAGATGTAAGCAGGAATCGTACCCATCCGCATGTTTAGGTGTAGTTTCATAAGTTCTTATACATTTATTTGCCATGATATTCTAAGTAGTTCTTAATTCCATGTTATCTGTCGTATTCAGTTACTCACTCTCTTTCCACAAATTCATGATAACCTCATCAAATTGTAAAATTATTTGATGTGACTAATGTACTGGTAGTGTTTGAATAATCTCGTACCTAATTATAGCGCCGTATGCGCAGGACACAAAGCTATGCACAGGAGGCTAGACTTTAGTTCCCGGGCGTTCTCAAGGAACGGGAGGCCGGTTCTGCACAGATCCGACAAGTGTGCACGTCAAAGGAAAGCGAACAGGCGATCGGGCGTAAGTTCCCGGTGAAGAATACGCCAGCCGATGAGCTCTGCACCGATGCACCGGGCCCATGTAGGGCGGTCAACCAGCTAGATGATTTTTCATCTGACAACTGCTTATATACATACTATTAGTGAAATGAAGATCCTCTGTGTGAGTTGTTGCTCTAGAAAACACCGTTTGCTAAACCCTCATGGGGATCACGAAGATGCTCACCTCACATGCCAATGAAATGCAGAACCGACATTTAATGTTAGAAAGCGTCAACAGTTCAGGTAAAAAACGAGTAAAGAAACTCCGTCTACGGTAATACCTGAGTTAAACTTCACCGCGCCTCTGAAAGAACCTAAAAGCCCGTTTTGTAATCAGCCTAGTTTATGCCTGTATTTCGAAAGAAGAAACCATTGCTTGTTATCATCATCTTTGATATGTGCTTTTCAAAGCTATTGTTCCATTACTTTTATTGGTGAGCTTTTGGCATATATTGCCTTCGTCTGATCTCAAATTTACTATATATAATTGCATACAAATAGTTATTTAAAACAAATTGAATCGTACTAAGCCTACCGGAAATATTGGGGAAATAGGGGAGTGGATCTGTCGGTGGGGAACTTAAAAGGATAGTGGACATACTGGCTCTGAGGATAACAGTCCATTTTCTTTTCGTTTTCCCCGATGACAGGTTCTTTCTTCTGTTTCACCAATATTTCCGATTGGCTGGATATGATCCGATTTTTTTTTATGTTGTAAGCGGTGACTGATTGCATACAATTACATATTGTCTACATTGTCAACTTAAGGTCTGATAAAGGCATTATATGCGAATGAAGCTCTGAGATAGCAATATTTCGAAATAACATTTCAGTACCTACGCCCAAAGCACAAAAAACAGGAAAAGGTTGTGCAAGCTGAATTGTGCTTGACTGATGTGACTGTATTTCAATCAAATGCTGAGCTACTTAATATGCAAAGTGACTCACAATGGGTGAAAAATTTCGAGCTGTCATGGATTTTCATCGTATTGGCCGACACCGTAAGTGCCTCATACATTACCGCTGTCGGATCTTGGAAAACCTAAAAAAATGCAGTTTTTATCAAAGCAAACAGCTCTCGCCTCAGAGGGTCAACAATCCTAGTATATATGTACAACGCGCCTGAAGAAAGTAACTGAAATCCCGCCAGCGGGGTAAAGAGCAATAGGGGGATAGAGAAAGAGAGGGGGTGGGAGAGGGGCGGGGAAGAAAGAGCGCGCGTAAAGTGAGCAGATTCTGAATAAAAATACGTGGTCAAGTTGAAATAAGCGAGGAATAAACCAACTTACTTGAACACGCAGGAGCTGAGCAAGATTCCTCTCGTAGCGGACAGAGGGTGCACGAAGTAATTTCGTATGGCTGCTTTCATAGTCCACGGTTTGACCCGAGATCGAGCGATTAGGGCGGCGCTTGGCTCTTGTTTACAACTGAACCTTGGTCGATACTGCGGGCAAGCGCCGCCCCAATCGCTCGGTCGGTCGCTCTGACGCTCGCTTGCCAAATCGGGAACTATGAAAGCAGCCTATGCGCGTAGGACTAATGCCTCTTGTTATGTCTGACTAGACCGTCCAAAAGGGAGGCGGTCGTTTGGCGCGATGGGCGGGTTCGCGCCGCCCATTTGAGGCGGTTCGCAGGGTGAACAAACTCGTTCACATCAGGCAACCCTCTGTTTGTCCTCTCAAGCTGATAGAGGCGCGAAAAATGACGCCACTACTGTTAGACGCCGAATTGCGGACCTGTTTGGGATATGTGTTTGGGATATGTTTGGGATATGTGCGTCCGAGAATGCGCGCGGCAAATTGCGCGGCGACGTTCGTAACTATTTGAACGACTTTGGCGCCTATCGTTGGGGCCCCAATTTGAAATATAGTGGATTAGGAGGATCATCTGACCCTACTGAACTACACTACTTCGAGTTTGTGCCCCGAAAACTGACGCCGCGGTCGTACAAATTGTCACGAACTTCGCCGCGCAATTTGCCGCGCGCACCCTCGGACGCACGTTCGTACCGCCCCCCACCTGTTTGAATTCCGCCTACATAATCATCAATTTTGCACTTTTGGACAGTATCCATGGAGAGAGGGGACAAAAAGCAATAAAATTCACGCAAAAGCGCCAAATGGATGATGTTTGTAAACAGAATACAAGCAGGTCGCAATTCGGCGTCTAATGGTAACGGCGTCATTGACCGCGTTCTATTAGCTGGAGAGGACAGACAGAGGGTCGCCCAATGTGAACGAGTTTGTTCACCCCGCGAACCGCGTCAAATGGGCGGCGCGACCCCGCCCATCGCGCAAAACGACATACACCCGTTCAAAATTGAAGAATGCAGGTTGCAGTCAACTCAGCGCTAGCCGAGCTGTCTGACTGCTACATCTCTATTGGAAAACCTGGAAATACCGAACCAAGCAAGCTAAAACAAGAAAAAACTTATTATTGAAGAAGCAATCTCCCTTTGCACACAAGACAACATTGTCAATAACTGAACTTACTATTTCATCATAATACTCATCAACAACACAAATGGTGCCATTCTTCATCGTCACTGTCGGTTCGACCAGATTGAGATTGTGGTAGAAAGTCAACTGAAATAAGGGATGATCCGTTCTCATAAACAAAAACTGCACAGTTGAGTGGATACACAAACTAGAAACGAAAACGTTCGATACGTACGATTCTGGGTGCGCGCGGCAAATCGCGCGCAGAAACTTGCGATAATTCAAACAACTCCTGCGCCTACCAATGGTGCACAAACTTGGAGTAGAATACATTAGTAGGGTCGGACAATCCTACTAACCTACTTTACTTTAAATTTGGGCCCCAATAATAATTGCTGCAGTCGTTCAAAACGCACCGAATTTCGCCGCGCAATTTACCGTGCGCACCCAGAATCGCGCGAATCGCCACACACCCGCAACACCCTCCGCATATCGGAGCACACCGTGTAAGGGTAAGAAATGTGTTTCCAGTGAGTGATTACGGTAATTGCCGCAAAACTATCACTGCCAACGTGATTAAGACCATAGGCATCCCCGTATCAAGTCCCTGATTATTTGGTGGAGTATGCAAGCATCACTTTTCTTTCTTGCTTTTTTCCGTGTGAAGAGTATTTGGCCACAGGAAAAACCTTGGCATCAGTCATTTAGATCGTACGGATGCCATGGGTTGAACTAAAGGTTTACTTGAACAATATGTAATTAAATTGTGGTACAAGGACAACCAGTAAACCGAACTTCACCAATTCTCTAACTTATCTAATAGCACAAGTCGCTGGAATATCGCAATAAAAAATGGAAAAATTTCCAATTCGCAACCAAGACTGCCTCGATGAAACCGAAATGTCTGATCTACCATATAATTGGGACCTTTTATGACAGAATTTCTCGTCATAACGTTCTATAGAAAAATACTTCGTATCTGCAGTTGCTTTCCTTCGTATCTGATTTTATTGAAAGTATGTCGTAACTTAAAAGAAAACCACAGGCCAAAAAAAAAACTGAGTCATCAAGTTTAAAGAACGGTAACCTCCTAGATAACTTGTTTCGTGCATGTCCACAAACTGCAATATTTCGTAACACCTACTACGACTGTTTAGTCCTTTGTAAACATGTTTTTAGCTTATGAAATTGATCAACAGCTACGAATACTCTGACCACGAGATTTACTTTTGCAGCAGCTCAGTGAAAGCTTATTCAATGAAAAAAACTATGGATAGTAGTAACCCGCTTCGCTTGTGTTTCCCGGATGACTTCCAAGGTGAATGTGAAAGCGTCTTTCCCGTGAAAGCTCCGATATTTGAGAATGTATTTTCTGGGAGTTTCTGTTTCGGTGCGTATTCGATGCAAAGGATTGAAACAGTCACAAGATGATTTGTCGTCTCCAGATTGGTGGACGCAGGAAGCTCTACTGTACGCTCTTCAGCGATTGCTGCGCTACAGGTATAGCAGCTATTGACCCAAGAATACGATATAATTTCAAATGAACACTATGCTAAAATTAAAGAATATAATCCTTCAAACATAAATTCCTGAACATATACTAAATACTAAATGGAAACTCACCGGTTTTTCACAAGGATCAATGAAATGGACGCGAATGCGTGCCTTGAACTCTCCCCACCCTCTCTCATGCACTTCGTATGGAGGTTTTTCGACAACTGAAACTTATGCCAATAATCGCTATTAATGCGCCTAATATATTTGTTTCATAACAAGCAAACCATCATAGATTTGACAAAGGCGCTTCTAAGGAAAAACGTACCTCTCAAGCTAGGTTCATAACTGTCGTGTAGCCTGAACTCCACTTTGCTGATGATAGTCGATAGATCTTCTTCCCAGTACGGCTTGAGGAACAATGTCCACTCGTGGGTGTTTTCATCGTCTTGGGAGGTCGCCAGCTCCTTGGCAATGTTGCCGTACACAATCGGTTTAACGAACTGTGTTCCTGTCGCACGGATAGGACTAGTGGATCCCATATCTCCACCTGCGAACTCAAACATTACAGGCTGCACCAAAAGCTCAAAAGCACATGCATGAAGGTAAGGCCAATTAGTGCTTGATGTTAATAACTGGAAGAAAAGAAAAGGAGGCCCGAAAATGCGAATTTCAACACCTCCAAGTTGCAGTGTACAAGAGAAACGTTTATCTTCCGTTTGGATGCCCTCCTGTTGTGCACCGTGAGTTCAGAAGCTGGCAAATTTTGTGTTATCATCCATGCATTCTCACCAAGATTGCGCTGGGAGCATGATGAACTACTTTTCGCCGAGTGCGCGCAGACGAGAGCAGAAATTATAGCGCGCTATTTATGTGCGCTTCATTGCGCGCGTCCGTCGAAGTTAGGTCACGCCGCAACCGTCGCATGCGGCGGATTAACCTGCGATACTTGACAGACGTCGCAGTTGGCATACGATTTGCGCTTGGTTCACGGCAGTCAGCTCAAACGGAAACGGATAACACGGAAAAATGCAAATCATTCGCCAAAGTGGCACATGGTTATACTGCAATGTGATCTCGAGACGTCATTGACTGCTTTCACAGTGTGCCGGCCAGCCCGCGAGCGCGCGCGCCTCTTGTTTACAACTGAATCTTGATCGATACCGCAGGCCGAGGGATGTGGCGGGGTGTGGTGCGTTAGGAACGAAATGGTCGCGTCGCGGTGAGAGGGACGTCGCGCGCGTCTAATCCTACTATTAGTACTTTTGTTCATGTATTTCTTACCTACTGCTCCATCCTGCTACATACNTAGCAGGATGGAGCAGTAGGTAAGAAATACAAGAACAAAAGTACTAATAGTAGGATTATGCATAAAATAATGATCGCATATCGATTGAGCTGTATGAAGAACGCTAGAGCTGTGAAAACGGCGAATGAGTGGTCCGCGACAGCCGCGTGCGGCGAACCGAATACCCAAAATCGTTCCTAGCGCCCGTCTCCCGGGTGTGCGCAGTAGGAATGAAATTGTCGCGTCGCGGTGTGAGACGCCGCGCGCGAAGGAATGTAGCAGAATGCATCAGCAAGTAGGAAATTCAGGAATAAAAGAACTAATATAGTAGAATCATACCATAAGTAATAGTCGCTCAACGATTGAGGTTACGAAAAACGCTAGAACCGTTATAACGAGGCAAATAGTCCGCGACAGCCGCGTGCGGAGTATCGATTACACAAAACCGTTACTACTGCCCGTCTCCCCAGGACGAGTAGTCCCCCGGCCGGTGGACCATGAAAGCAGCCAATGGCTGCGCCGCGCGCGATGTGAGCAGATGACCTACTTACGTGCGCAACGGTCGTTCCCCAGGCTATTTAGAGATCTCTGACTCTGGCTACTACTTGCCGAATTGGGATACCCCAAGGTGTTCTATTCAAGTGATGGGATAGTGAAAAAGACATGCTACAATAAGGGGATTAGAATATCGAAAGTATTTCATGCAAGAAAAGGCGAAAACAGGAGGAACACCACAAGCAAATACGCAAACCCCCTAATAACACCATAACATCATAACAGCAAGCAAATACCAAAGGTCATAAGACAAAATTCATAAAGTAACACTCACGTTCGGACATAGTTGCGAAAACTTTGATTCTGAAATGTTTATGATCAACACTTACAGCAATGTGTCCCGTCGAGATAGCAGTATCGTCTTTTACTAGTAAATACTGGCACAACTGCAAAGATACAAAAAAAAACGCATAAAGAACAAGAAAAGAAATCAACAAGAAGGCAGCTAATTCAGAAAAAATCTGTCAGTCCACAAAGACTATGTGAACGGCTCTCCCTGATTGGTTGATTTAAAGGGCCGGGTGGTCCCACGGTGAATGGGCTAGTTAGGCGCGGAACAAGCCGTACTGTGTAGATGGCGGTGCACCTTAGCCGCCTGCGTCTCCCTTTAAGTATTATCTAGGAATTGCTTTTTTTTCGTATGTTTGTTAATCTGCGTCGCAAAAAGTCTACTGTAGTCCGACTTCTTGATATATTTTAACGTATTCAGGGGACATTGTCCGTTCTTTGCATGGCGAATAACTGTGATACAAACACACCAGAAGTTAGTAAAGCTGAAGAACCAGGGAAGATGAGTTTTTTTTCCTTTTTCAAAGAAATTTCTATTCTTTTTCGCTTTAATCGACAAAATTCAAGCGAATGAGAGTCTGGTTAGCTTAGAAGTCGAATGTGCTCGCGAGGATCCTAACGTCACACCTACTGTTCTCGTCAAGGAGGATGACCTGGAAGTGTTTCAAATGCTTCTAGGTTAGTTTTACACCTTAACAGTACCAAATATCTTGTGACGGACTTCTTCGCGTCGGGGGAAAACAGATCGGAACATTGTCTGACATATATAGTCTGACAAATAAAGAGTTTGAGTCGAGGCATTTTTCAGAAAGATACGACCGCTTTATCATTAAATCTTTTGGTCATTTTAGCAACCAATGCTTTGACTTTATCGATTAGATTAATTTTAAGATGTGTCGATGTTTCAGAGGCTCCTCTTCAAGCAGACATGTCTGATTCTTTCGATGACGACGAGACGACAGTTCTTTCGCGAGATGTTTGCACCTCCCTTGAGGTGTCGATGGTGAGTTTTTTATGGGATGTTGCCTGTCGTGCTCATAAGGTTAGAAATACTTGTTTTTATTCTTACTTTCGGTAATAATCTATATTAAGCTTCAATCATCCGATCTGGACATTTCCTCTATCGAGGGGGACGGCGGCCGCGTAATGCGTCGTTTCAGAGGTAGCTAGCTTCTTTCTCGTGTACCTGTTTAGCCCGTAGTTTCGAGAATAGGTGAAAGGTTGTTGATCGGTGCCACACGGAGATGGATCAGCCCCGATCAGTTCACAGCGCATCGCCTCATCACTCGGCGATCAGCTGATTGTAAGTGGGTCCTAGAAGGAATATTGCAACCTGCATCGCCTCGGCACACGTCTGAGGTGACATCGATCGAGGGGCGGAAGTCCGGGAGATCCGGGGCTCCCAATATGCCCTAGCTGTAGGGTTGTGGGACTCGACAGCATCCTTCCTGTTACCGTTGGGGTACTGGGTATTCCTAGAGGGAGAACTGGAGAACCACTTTTACTGTGAACTGTGCCTTTAAACCTTGCCAGCGCACGGTGTGTGCGGAGAGAATCGCATGCCTTTCGGGCGTCAGCCAAACAACCATAGGGAGTGGCGTACTGTATGGGCGCAGGTTTGGCTGTTAGGACATCGGCGCCAGTGTGGGTGGAGCTGAGCCACGGTGTCAGGTTTACATCACAGCGCACTAGCCGCCTTCAGCGCGCCGAAATGACCTCCCAACCCATCACAAGGTAGAGCTCAATCTTTATTCTATATCTATATCTATATTCGACTTTTTAGGCTTCCCCGCTCGTGAGGGTCTCGAAGAGGAACCCAACGAAGTTTCATCGATTCAGGCGCAGGAAGATGGCGTCATGAACTAGAAGTGGTAAACTAGACGATCGAATTCATTGAGCGATGGTGTGCTTGGCGTTTGTGCAAAGAATAAAGCCGTTTTGTTAATCTTGTATTTTCCCATGCCATCGTGTTGTTATACGATGCTATACTTAAAAAGAAGGGAGCTCTGGGAAAGAGCCAAGGCGTCAGAATAGAAAAGTTTATCGAACTGTATCACAATGGAAAGTATACCAAATAGAGAACAGGTTCTGTCTTGGCTTTGGCGGCTCATGCGCGTCCCTCTCAAGACTGGGCCCAGTTTTAAGGAGAAAGATAGTAGATCGAAGCGGCTGTGTAATGATGAGTATTATATATGCTTCATCGCTGATCATGCATGCATTTACGTATTCATTCGAGTCATAGAAATATGTTCAAGCCGTGTTCGCCCACGTTTTTGAAATCTGACAGAATGGTATGAATGTCGCTAGGGGGCAGGAGGTAGCAATCATGTGTGGTAAGTCAAAAGGTCACATCCTTGGAGATTTTGCACTTTTGTAATTCTTCATCTGTGCATACTATTTAAACTTGTAAAATGTATGCCATGTAAGGGCTTTCACTGGGTTCCGACTGAATTCTACCTGAAACTGTTTATTATGAAGAGACTGATAATGCTTGAATGAAGCAGTTATATATATGAACATTGCGTATCTGGATTTATTCCTCCACTTTTGCATTTTTTTCATTTTTTCTCGAACTTCTCAAAGGTAGTAAGTCATTTCACATATTAGGTTGATGCAAAATTATTGCGGATTTTTTCGCGGCTCCTTTTCTCTCGATAAAATTAAACTTTTAAATCCAGGATTTTCGTAGAAATCATTTTCTCGCTTCCTTTAACAGAAATATGACTAGAAAGTCATCTTCATATACGCCACATAATGCTCCATTACTTCGAGAAATGATGGAAGGCGGCACACTCATAACGCGATCTCAACGAACTTCTCGGAGATGGAACAGTCAGCCAAAGCCGAATAAAGAATGGAACCTGCTTCTACGGTCACCTTATTCACCAATAGAGACTACTATGGATTATCACGTTGACCGCCCGTTGAAAAGTTGGTTAACGAACAGAACTCTCGACGAAGTGGATGACTTGATGGTCAACGTCAAGGCGTGATCGCCTCCAAGAATCGAAACATCTTCGCCTGTGGAATCCGACTGCCTAGCAAATGGAAAGCAGCGCTTGGCGTAGATGGTGGATACGCTCCGGAGCAATTATTTGAACATGTCTTTGCTGAATATTTCTATCGTTTCTTCGAGTAAAATTTGTTGAAAAAAATCCGCAATAATTATGCATCAACCTAATATTTGCTTGGTAAATTTTTTCTTTCCGATTGATAATAAAGACTGACTTTTTTCATACAGTGGGTATATTCACAAGAGCTGCTGCTATAGGATGGGGGAAAAAGCTCTTCATCACATAAAATTATTTTCAAAGTCTTTAAACCAGAGTTCGTGTGATTTTCTTGTTGAAGAGTTCGGGTTCGTATAATAATAGGCACATCAACCAAAGTGAAGCAAGCATTCGCTTGAAATTCCGTCTAGGCGAAACTCGACTCTGTATTTCAGCGATGTGACATTCCTTCCCTACTTTTCTTCGTTAGAGTATGGTCCCGACAGAGTCATGCTTTGCAACAAAAAAAGCCTTCATTAAAGTAAAGAGAACCTTTCGAAAGGAAGCCAGTGTAGGCAAGCATGTCTATTGCCGTCAGGATCATGATTGATAAGATAGGCTCCTTCATCGCAGGCTATCCAATGAAGGAGTCCATCTGATAAAGCATGATCTAACGTCGTGTAAGGATCAGTGATAATGCTAGAACTCCACCTGGAAGCTAGTCACAAGACCTTGTTGATCTGAAGAAGAGCAGATATATCGAAGTCTAACGTCTTCTGGAGATACCAGTCGGGCTGCCCGGCTAACGCCGGCCTTCCCTCCTTCTTACGGTGTCACCCGGCTTCGCTGGGCGCTACTCCTTCCTGTAAGAAAACTGCTATGCCTAAATAACACTTCGGATTCTCCATTTTCTGTGAAAGCTCTACACCCTCAGTATTAGCTCCGAATTTGGAGCGATTTTTCCGTGAGCCATCTTCGCTGTGTCCGGATAGAACATCGTATAATTTCACAAAGGCGGTTACTCAGAGAAAAAAAAGACAGATGGGCTAAGGAGTCGGACATTTATTTCGCATAAACCCCGCTCTTTGTGGGCGGAGTCCGGTCATGCCATCCTACATAAGTGTTCCCATCATGTTTCCAGTAATCCTACCAAGTTTGAACGCCCTGGGACCAAATTGACAATTTTCGTGCATGCCCCGTCCCTTGTGGGTGGAGTCGGTCCTGCTACCCGCTATCACTGTCCACATCCTGCCGCATGTACTCCTTCAAAATTTGGGCTCACAAGGCCCACTGTGACAGGGCTATGCATTTCTGTTAAAACCCCACCCTTTGTGGGAGGAGCTCGGTCCTGCCATCCTCCATAAGTGTTCCCATCCTGCCACATGTATTCCTTCAAAATATGAACTTTCTAGGTCCACGCAGGCAGGAGTTATGAGTTTTCGCCCACACAATTTTTTCGCACAAACCCCGCCCCCTGTGGGCGAAGTCCAGTCCTGCTACCCACCATAAGTGTTCCGATCCTGCCACCTGTATTCCTACTAAGCTTGATACTTTAGATCCACGGGGACAGGATTTATGAATTTCCGGTCCGACACACACACACACACACACACACACACACACACACACACACACA